CTTGGCCTTAGTGGTTGTGTGTAAATTTGAAGAATAGCGGTATTAAGTGGTCTTCCTTGTAGGCGTATGGATATTATCCTATGACTGACAGCGTTGTACTTCAGGATAGATCTTGAAATGTTCTTTTTGAAGAAGAATGCAATGCTATTCCTTTTCAATTTGTCATTCCTGGGATAGTAGACCATATGATTATCTGATTCAAAATGGCCAATATCAGACCATTTCAGCTCACCAATGCCTAAGATATCGATGTTTATGCATTCCATTTCATTTTTGACAATTTCCAATTTTTCTAGATTCCTACTTTGTATGTTCCATGTTCCGGATTATTAATGGATGTTTGCAGCTGTTTCTTCTCATTTTTAGTTGTGCCACATCAGCATATGAAGGTTCTGAAAGCTTGACTCCATCCACATCATTAAGATCGGCTCTACTTGGAGGAGGCAGCTCTTCCCCAGTTGTATTTTGAGTGACTTCCAACCTGAGGGGCTTATCTTCTGGCACTATATCAGACAGTGTGCCAATGCTATGTATAAGCCTTTCACTGGCTAATTCTTTTCAGAAGTAGACCCCTGGGTCCTTCTTCCTAGTCTGTCTTAGTCTGGAAGCTCTTCTGAAACCTGTCCACCATGGGTGAGCCTGCTGGTATTTGAATACTGATGGCATAGCTTCCAGCATCACAGCAACACGCAAGCCCCCACAGTACAACAAACTGACAAATGCATGGCAGGAGTGAAATTAGTCAGTTACAAAAGGATAAATATTGTATTAGACCACTATTATAAGAACTCAAGAAAAGGTTTAAACACAGAGAAAAGCATTCTTTGATAGTTACGAGGGTGGGGGGGGAGGGAGAGGGGAATTCACTAACTAGATAGTAGACAAGGATCAACTTTGGTGAAGGGAAGGACAACATACAATACAGAGCAAGTCAGCACAACTGGACCAAAGCAAAAGCTAAGAGGTTTCCTGGACACATCCAAACACTTTGAGGGACAGAGTAGCTAGGGCTGGGGCCTGGGGAACGTGGTTTTGGGGAACATGTAGGTCAATTGGCATAAGAAAGTTTATTAAGAAAATGTTCTGCATCCCACCTTTGGTGAGTTTCATCTGGGGTCTTAAAAGCTAGCGAGTGGCCATCTAAGATGCATCAAATGATCCATCCCGCTTGGAGCAAAGGAGAATGAAGACACAAGGAAAGACCAAAGACACAAGGAAAATATTAGTTCAAGAAACTAAAGGACCACATAAACCAAAGATTCCCCAAGCCTGAGACCAGAAGAACTAGATGGTGCCTAGCTACAACTAGTGATTGCCCTGACGGGGAACACAACAGAGTGTCCTGCATGGAGTGAGAGAAAAGTGTGGAGCAGAACACAAATTCATGTAAAAAGACCAGACTTAATGGTTTGACTGAGACTGGAGGAATCCCTGAAAACATGGACCCTGATGCTCTGTTAACCCAGAACCGAAACCATTCCTGAAGCCCAGTCTTCAGATAAAGATTAGCTAGGACTATAAAACAAAAAAATAATACACATGAGATGTGTGCTTCTCAGTTCAACCAGATACTTGAAACCAAATGGGTGACTCCTGTCCAGAGGCAGGATGAGAAGGCAGGAAGGGACAGGAACTGGATGAATGGGCACAGGGAACCCGAGGTGGAAAGAGGGAGTATCCTGTCACATTGTGGAGATTGCATCTAATTTCACAAAACACTATGTGTATAAATTTTTGCATGAAAAATTAACTTGTGCTATAAACTTTCACACAATTAAAGCATAATTAAAAAACCAACAAAAAATAATAATAAAATAAAAACAGTTAATCCATTTAAAGAAAACTTCTGATAATAGTACAGATGGTATGCTAACATAGCAAAAAAAAGTGACATTGAAATAAGAATAACTGAGCCCTCAGAAACACTGTACATGTCTAGGCTACATTGGAAAATGTCATAGAATTCTCGATTCACTAGAGTATTGGGCCAGGGGGCATGGTGCACCAGAGACCATCCCACCTATAGCTAGCCCCTCTCTCTCACCCCCTCTCTTTCCGGGAAGACAAACCAGATGTCACCCAGTAGGTTCCCAGACCTCTGCTCTTCTAGTGCAGTGTTCTCTACTATAGAGGCTACAGCAGAATAAAAGCCAAAGTGGAGTGAACAACATGGGCTCCTACTTGCCCAACGCTGTTCTAGAATGTGCTCTCCATGTGTCTGTTGAGTAAACTGATGAAGATGGAAAGGTTTGAGGGGGATAATTTTGAGCTCCTAGAAGGGCCGTCTTTCTCAAGTCCTGCCACCTGCTTAGGAGTTGAGGTAATTCCTAGGATTTTACCTTCTAGATCACATAGATCCACATGGAACACCTCAGGGACTTTCCCAAGGGAAAAGCAATAATACTAATCAACTGCCATTTAAACAAGAGGAGATGTCTTGCTTCCAGCTAAAATAACACAGAGAAATTTCACCCGTCAAGCAAAACTGAGGTCTGACTTGAGGTTTGGTAGTCTCCAGCCTCCTCCGTCGCTTCTGCAGCGTCATCCTGAGCAGGAATGGACTTCAGAGGCTCTACCAGGCAGCAGGCAAGGGCTGGGAGTAGCTGCCTGTGTTTGCAGTATTGACTGGTGTCACAAGCAGGCTCGGGCTTGAACAGTGTGGGGTTGGGAGAGTAATTCAGCCCTACCTTGTATATTTTGCTAGGCCAGCATTCTACCATCTTTATAGGCTGAGAGCCAGGGCTGTTTCCCAGGTTGCAAAAGTAAGTTGGATAGGGCAAAAGGTCATGTCTTAACAACTCAGTGAGGGTGTGTGCGCGTGCATGCGTGTGTGTGTGTGTGTGTGTGTGTGTGAATGGTGTGCTAAGTGACTGAACACGGCCTTATTATCTGTTTAGGAGGACCACTCAGACTGTCCCATGGGGACAGAGGTAGGAGTGCTCTTTACTGGAAAAAAAGAAGTGTTGCCCTTGAATTGACTCTTATTCATGGTGCCCTCCTGTGTGTCACAGTAGAACTGTACTCTATAGGGTTTTCAGTGGCTGACTTTTTGGAAGTAGTTTGCCAAGGCTTTCTTCCAAGGTGTCGTTGGTTGGACTCAAACACCATCCTTTCAGTTAGCAGCTGAGCACGTTAACTGTTTATACCACCCAAGAGCACCACTCTTTATTAGAGTGTTTTTTCTGACTAGGAGTCCCTGGGTTATAAATTCCAGAATTTTTCCTTTGCAAACAAAGATATATATTTTTTTACCAAAATGGGATCATATTAAACATAACTGTTTTTAAATTTTCTTTATTTATTTAATTGAAATACAATTCACATACCATAAAATTCACCCTTTTAAAGTGTACAATTTTGTGAGTTTTAGTATATTCATAATGTACAACCACTGTCTAATTCCAGAACATTTACATCACCCTAAAAAGAAATCCCATAGCAATTAACAATTATTCCTTACTCCCCTCTTTAAACTCCCTAGCAACCTATAATCTATTTCTGCCTCTATGGATTTGCGTATTTTGGACATTTCATATAAATTGAATTATATAACATGTGGCCTGTTGTGGCTGGCTTCTCTCAGCATAATGTTTTCAAGGTTCATTCATGTCATAGCACGCATCAGAATTTCATTTCTTTTGATGGCTGAATAATATTCCGTGGTCTGCATAGACTACATTTTGTTTATCCATTCTTCTGTTTGTAGACATTTGGGTTGTTCCACCTTTTGGCTATATGCATAATACTGCTATGAATGTCCATAAACAAGTTGTGTGAACATACGTTTACAGTTTTCTTGGGTACACATCTAGGAGTGGAATTGCTGGGCTAGAGATGGTAACTCTAAGTGTTACTTTTGGAGGAACCATCAAACTCTTTTCCAAAGGAGCCATAACTGTTTTATAACCTTTTTTTCCCCTTCACAATAGATCACAACTGTCTTTCCTTGTCCATAAATAGAGATCTACATCACTAGTTTGAGTGAATGCATAGTACTTTTTGGCCAGCTGTACCAGAGTGCATTTAACTAACTATTCAGGGACATTTGATGATTCTATGAAAGAGACTTTGAGCATCTTCCTTGAGTCCGCAGCATGTTACCCAGTTGTACCCAGGGATACTATCACTCTGTATCCACCTATTTTGGTGCTTTTGTGTAAGTTCCAATTCCCCTTCCCCCCACGTCTGTGTTGTACACGACACGGTGAACTCCTGGAAGAGATGGGACATGTCCTGAATTCATCTTTGTATCCATAGCACCTAGCAAAGTGCCAGGTGCCTAGTAAAATGTTTGAACAATGAATGAATAGAGCATGGATGGATGACTACAGCCAGAGGCTCGGGGAAGATGGCTATGCTTCACTGGAAGAACAGTCTGTCCAAAGACCCCTGCCTTTAGAGGTACTCCGTTCCCTGACTCTGTGGGTATGTAGTAGAAGGCTGGGTCATCTGGTAAGAATATTGGAAAGTTAATTGACACATCACAAGGGAGAACCGGATGAAATTTCCAAACTTGAGAGCCTAGAACTCTAGGAAATTTAAGCCCAAGGTAGCTAAGAGATTTGTTCTAAAATATCCAGCAGTCGTGGGGCTTGGAGTTGCTGTAACAATTTTAAAGCTTGTTCTGAGTTGCCGAGATCAAAGCTTCCCCTTGCGCCCAGGCTTCTGCCCGCTTGTGCTCGCCTTTGAGCAACTCGCAGCGCGCTAAGATTAATGTCTAGCGAAAGCGGAAATCTTCATGTGACAAGTTGTTTGACAAGTTTGTGACTTTTGTAATTAGTTTGTTCAGGCTGCTTAGATAAGAGGGTACATTCTGGGTGGGCGTGGCTTAAAGCGCCCCAGCCACCTTCCTAGCGATCCTTAAGAGAGAGAGCTTTTAAGTTATATTCCGATTTGGCGATCTGGTGGCCCTGGGCCAGAACTCGGGCCCTAGGGCAGGACCAGCGCAGCCTCTCGGAGAGCAGAGACCTCGCAGGCAGCAGGAGCGCAACCCTTCCAGGATGAGGTTCTTCGCTCTGGTCCTGACCTCCCTCGCAGCTGCCACGGTTTGGGGTGAGTCATTCTGAAACACAAACATTGCAGGACACAATTGGAAATACTTGTTTTAGGAGAAGTGGACGGAGTTAGGTTATATACAGGGAAAAGGCGACAAGTCCGGTTCGGTTAACCGAGCGTGCCTTCACAATTGGAGCAGCCGGCCCAGCCCACACTGGACCCTGGAGATGATGCAGGGACTGATAAATGCCCTGAGACCACAGTCCCAGGCCCAGGACAGTGTAGAGCTCACCTCATGCCTGACAGATGAGGACTTTTATTAGTCCAGATACGGCCAAACCTCACAGAATGGCTTAGCAGAAATTTTAAAAGCAAGAACACTGAAGCCAGAGTGCCTGGGTCTGAATCCCAGCTCAGTACTTACTAGCTGTGTGTTCTACTTAACTTTTCTGTGCCTCTGTTTCTCCGTCTCTAAAATGGGAATTATAATAGTAACTACCTCACTGGACTGTTGTGAGGATGAAATAGGTTATTGTTTGCAAAGCACTTAAGGTAGTGCCTGATATAGAAAACCAAAAACCAAACCCTTTGCCGTCCAATCAATTCCAACTCATAGCGACCCTGTAGGACAGAGCAGAACTGCCCCATAGGGTTTCCAAGGAGAGGCTGGTGGATTGGAAGTGCCGACCTTTTGGTTAGCAGCTGAGCTCTTAACCACTGCGCCACCAGGGCTCCACCTGATATAGAAGAAGCACAAAAAAAGGGGTTGATACATAAGGGAGTGGAGCCAGGGACCTCAGAATGTATCTGTGCCATTTTAGAGGTGGAGAACCTGAGGAGCAGAGAGGGAAGGTACTTCCCAGAGTCAGCTGGACAATCGTGCCCTAGGATGTATCACTGACTCCAGAATCCAGGCCAGTGCTCCAGCCATCTGTGGGCTGACAGCCCAGCTCCACCTGGATTGTCTCTCTTTCTGGAGCAAAAAGTTGATGGTTGTGACACTGTGAGAGGCTGGGACTGAGTGCCAGGGCATGGTAAGAAAGGAACCAAATTTGGAGTGTGATACATTTCCTTGTGCTGGTTACTGCATCCAGTCTCCATCTTTACAAAGTCCACACTGGCTGCTTTCAAGTTCTCAGTCTCCTCATCTGTAAAATGGGCATATTAACACCTACCTAGCAGGGCTGTTGTGAAGCTTAATTTAAACAAGCTAGAATTATATAACATATGTGGTAACTGCTGTTATTACCATTATTGTTTATGTCCCTTGCTCCATCCACCCACTTTCTGACCTGGGAAATCTGGCTTCTACTCACTTTGTCGTTTTGAAGGTTATCACTGAGCTAACAAAGGCCAGGTCCAGTGGTTTCTTCTCAGTTTCTTCTCCTCAACATCTCTGAAGCTCTCTGCCCTCTTGGCCTGCCCCTCTTCCTCCTTCCCCCTTGGCTGCCATGATGCTGTCCCCCCACTACCCCGCCATGACCCCTCCCACCTGTCTGAGGGAGTCTCTCAGGCTCAGCTGTAGTGGTCCCCTGTTCTTTATCCTTAGCTCTCTCTTTCCTCTCACACTGCCTCCTCAGTGAAGCCTCATGCACCTGTGGCCGCATCCTGCCCCCTTCAGGTCTTGAAGTGCTCAGTTCCTGTGGCACTTTCTCACCTGGTTATCTCACTGACTTCTCAGCTAAATGTGTCTGAAACAGAACCCAGCACCACAAGCTAGCCACTTGGTCTTCTTCCTTTCCCTTCCATATCCCCCATGTCTGCTCAAGTGCCAAATCTTCTCAAACTTCTTCCAAATTCCTTATATACGTTACTATATTTCTTCATATTTTTCCTTATAATTATAAAAAAGAGTCCATTTTCAATGCAGAAAACTTGGAAAGCACACACACACAAAAAAAGGTCACCTGTAATGACATCAGCCATTGACATTTTGATATATGTGTATCCAAGGAAGTTCATCGCAGTGTCATTTATAATAATTAGCAACAACAACAAAAGAAAATCTAAATGTCCACAGTATGAGATTCACTGTTACTAGCATCAGACATGGATACTGTTTTGTAACCTACATTTGCATGAAGAGGGTGCCATACCATTGGATATTCTTCTATAAGGCCATATCTGCATTCTTTTCTGTTCTGGGCCCATGCTTTGAGGAGATGTTGACATTATGTCTGTATCCAAAGGGAAGCAACTGGGATGACAGGTAGCTAGAAATAACTTCCTATAAGAAATGCTTAAACACATGAAGGCTACTGGGGCTGGAAAAAGAGAAGACTTGAGGGATGGGTGCAGTTAAGTGTCTAAAAGTCCGCCTGCCAGGTGAAAGGCAGATATATTAGTTCAGTGCGGTCCCAGAGCAGGTAGAACAAGGACTGACGGTGGAAGATGCAGGAAGGTGAATTTTAGCTCAAGTGGTAGCAATCATCTGCTCTACAAGAATGGAACTGGAACAAATAAGAATCTGATCCCCAGCCTCTCTCCCTTCTTGGTGATCCCGCTCAGAGCCACCAGAAGAATCTTCTTCCAGCTTACTGGGCCACCATCCCTTATTCCAGAAGTGTCCTGTGCTGCTCATTATTCTACTGAATAAAGCTCAAGCACTTAGGCTGGCATTGGAAGCCCTCCTTGACATGCACCTCTCCCATTCCAGGGTGATCGACTTCTTGTAGATTCCACCTGGCCCAAGTGGGCCACTCACCCTACCTGGGGCAGGCCTTGCATTTTGCTGTCTCAGGGCCTCAGCATATTCCCTCTGCTTTAAAGCTTTATAGTCCCTCTTCTATCTCCTCTTGTTCAAATCCTCCCCTCCTGCCAGTCCCAGCTCCAGTGCCACCTCCTCCACAATACCACCAATCAGAAGGCATTGCTCCTCTTCTAACTCCTGTAGCACCTCACTGGTACCTCTCCCAGGACACTGACCACCTTCTTCCCACTTAGGGTCAAGTATATCTGTGACTCACTTTCCCTGCAAGATTCCGAACTGCTGAGAATCAGGGCCACATCTTGCTCATCGTCTCATCTAGCATGCAGCTCAACACCAGGATCCTACTGGATGAAATGTTTCCAGAGACGTCTAAGAGAGGAAACCAAATGTCATATTTAATCCTAGCAGCTCCTTTTTGCATTTGTTTTTATTTTTTAAAATAATTTATTGAAGCCCCTAAAAACATAAAATACTTAGGAATAAATCTGACCAGGGATGTAAAAGACCTATACAAAGAAAACTACAAAACATTACTGCAAGAAACCCAAAGGGATCTACATA